CTGTATGACCTATTTTAGAGGTGAGAGGGGAAAGCTTAAAAAGGAGCAACTTTTTCACGCAGAGGGTGGTGCGTGTATGGAATGAGCTGCCAGAGGAAGTGGTGGAGGCTGGTACAATTACAACATTTAAAAGGCATTTGGATGGGTACATGGATAGAAAGGGTTTAGAGGGATATGGGCCCAAGGCTGGCAAATGGGACTAAAAGGGAAACCTGGTGGTATTATTGCTGGACTGTTAATCCAGAGACCCAGACAACGTTCTGGGGACCTGTGTTCGAATCCCAGCACGGCAGATTGTTAACTATTAACTGCCCTCTGGGCAATTAGGGATGGGCAATAAATGCTGTCTAGCCAGCGATGCCCTCATCCCGTGAATGAATAAAGGAAAACAAAATTAACTTAGGATATCTGGTCAGCATGGACAAGGTGGACTGAAGGGTCTGTTTCTGTGCTGTATGTCTCTTCAACTATGACTCTATGATCCAGGTAATGTTCTGGGGACCCGGTTGGAATCGTGCTTATGGTGTAATTTGAATTCAATAAAAAATGTGGAATTAACACTCTAATGATGACCATGAATCAGTTGTCATAAAAACCCACCTTGTTCACTCATGTCCTTTAGGGAAGGAAACTGCCATCCTTATCTGGTCTGGCCTACATGTGACTCCGGACCCACAGCAATGTGGTTGACTCCAAACTGCCCTGTGGGCAGTTAGGGATGGGCAATAAATGCTGATGCCCTTATCCTGTGTACGAATAAATCAAAATGGTATCCGTGGACCCAATGGGTTTTTCCTCACAATGGTCATCATGAGATGTTCAAATTCCAGATTTTAATTGAATTCAAACTCCACCAATGGGCAACCATTGGGATTCGAACGCTGGTCCTCAGAACATGTCTTGACCCTTTGGATGAGTGGTCTAGGTTGCCGAGCATGTTCTCCCTCACTGTGCCTTTCCCTCCGTCCTCCAGAGAATGTTCCGGGCTCCCCCGTGCTGTCCCAGTGGCCGGCCAGACTGAGGCGCCAGCGAGGCAGCAATGTGATGCTGCCGTGCGAGCTACGGAGCGATGGCAGGCCGATTGGCACCACCTACACCTACTGGTAAGTTACCGGGGTCAGAGTTGAGGGGTCGGGTGTCGCTGGTCGGCGGAGAGGGTGGGTTACAGCACACCCTGAACGTTCTCCACCTCCAGCGCAACGATTCCAACATCTACCACTGCACAGTGTCCGCCCTGTGGGAAGGCACGCACCTCAACCTCCGAGGAGACGGCACCACACTTGAGGGGGTCGATAAGTGGCAGCCGGACCTTTTAGCCGAACATTCCAGCACGACCACTCAGTCACTGTGCCCCGCGCTAGGATCTGTCGTTCAACACATAAACCACGCCGAGCCCCTCGATCAGACTCCACTCTGTAACTCCCTCCTGGCGTATCTGTTATTCTGTGTATAAACCACCCCGAACCCCTCGATCAGATTCCAGTCTGTAACTCCCTCCCGGGGTATCTGTTATTCTGTATATAAACCACCCTGAGCCCCTCGATTAGATTCCAGTCTGTAACTCCCTCCCGGGTGTCTGTTATTCTGTATATAAACCACCCCAAACCCCTCGATTAGATTTCAGTCTGTAACTCCCTCCCGGGGTATCTGTTATTCTGTATATAAACCACCCTGAACCCCTCGATTAGATTCCACTCTGTAACTCCCTCCCGGGTATCTGTTATTCTGTATATAAACCACCCCGAGCACCTCAATTAGATTCCAGTCTGTAACTCCCTCCTGGGTATCTGTTATTCTGTATATAAACTGTGCCTAACCCCCTGATTAGACTCCACTCCAGTTCTACCGCCTAACCACTTGCTTCATTTGGCATCCTGGCTGCTTTTGCACTTGATTGTACCCCTCTCTCACGTAAGGGTTCACTCTCTGGTTTCTGTTTCAGAGTGTCCTGTGGAATTGGAGCCTGTGCCGCTCTATGTTTTTCTTCTGTTGAAGACCCTGTTTTTACTGCTCTTCGTGCGTGTGTGTACCCTGAGAAAGCCACATCTCCAGCCTGTCCTCTGACAGTATTCTCTGTGCCATAGCAAACATGAGAACCCTCGGAATTCCTCTTCAATTCACAGAAAGGAAATGTTAGGAATTAAATTGGGAATGCCACAGTGACCTGGGATGATGTTGTCAAAGAACAGAACAAGAGAGAGAGGAGTGGGGGCTTAAACCTTACAGCCTGTTCAGAGTCTGAGTCTCTCCTGTGTTCTGGACTGTCATTTCAGAGTCGGCCAGGAGGAGGTAGCAGATGCTCACATATTCTCTGTATTCAGTCATCAATGTGTGAAAGCTGTTAGGTTAAATATCTGTGAGCTATCCCTCCTTCATATCATCAATGTATATATAAGACTAAATAACTCAGGAGTGAGTTACAGACTGGAATCTAATCGAGGGGTTTGGGGTAGTTTATACACAGAATAACAGATACCTGGGAAGGAGTTACAGACTGGATAATAATCAAGGGGTTGGGGGGTGGTTTATATACAGAATAACGGATACCTGGGAGGGAGTTACAGACTTAACACTGGTTCGATGTGATCACTGGTACGAGTTGCTGAGGTGAATTATTTTGGTGAAGCTGGGTGCTGCTTGGGGCATGTTCACACTGAAGAGGAAAACTGGGAAGCGAAGAGGGATCCTCTGTCACAAACGCACCATATTAGCTCATTGTTTCCCCTCTCAGATGCTCGTGTGTCTGGGGAATTCTTTACCACAGAGGGCTGTTATTGATCAGTGATTCAGTATAGTCAGATCAGAGAAATGGAGTTTTATAATCGGTAAGGGAATCGAGGGGTTCTGGGGAAAAAGGCATGAAGGTGGGAGTTGAAGATGATCATACGAGACATTGAATGGCAGTGCACACCTGATGGGCCGAATGGCCTACTTGTGATCCTACGTCTTGTCTCAGTTATTGTTGTATAGTTCTGCTTCACCCAGACACACAGTAATTGAACTCGCTGGAGATATTGCTATCTCTTTATCGATGTTACCGCCCCTTTCTGTTCCTAAACTCTCAACCTAAAATTTACACAGGAACAACACAATTCCTGGCCTTGGATGAATAAAGTTCATTCAGCACAGAAGTGTAAATCTTCCTTTCGTTTTTAGTGTGGGTTTTATTCTTTCAGCCCTACATTCCCAAACCCGAACTTACTCTAAATCAGCAAAAAAATACAAACGGGTCGTCTCGATGGTTTTGGACCTCTGAGAATAATTTTTAGAAGAAGGAACCTCTTTCTCACAGGAAATAAATTGGAGACTTTTCACAGCCATTTTCTGTTCCTTAATAAATTGAGGAAATGACTCGAGCTGACAGAAACCCGAAGTAAATCACAGGAGATTACAGGAAGAGATCGATCAGGGTGGTTGAAAGTAGGTGGAAGCCTTTAGCTGGCAGGAGGATACAACCAGATTGTCAGATGGGCAGATCAGGGGCAGATGGAGTTGAACCCTAAAACATCTGAGGCAGTGCACTTTGGAAGAAGGATTAAGACAAGGGAGTGGTCAAGACACCAATGAGGAAAAGAGCCAAACAGCATGGAAACACAGACCCTTTGGTCCAACCAGTCCATGCCGGCCCACCTGCCTGCTCCTGGCCCATATCCCTCCAAACCTTTCCTGTCCATGTCCTTATCCAAATGTCTTTTAAACGTTGTAACTGTACCCACACCCACCACTTCCTCAGGAAGTTCATTCCACACATGGACCACCCTCTGTGTAAAAAGAAAGTCGCCCCTTGTCTCTTTTTTAAATCTTTCTCCTCTCACCTTAAAAATGTGTCCCCCTCTAGTCTTGAAATCACTTCACCTGAAGAAGGAGCAGCGCACCGAAAGCTTGTGTCTTCAAATAAACCTGTTGGTCTATAACCTAGTGTCGTGTGATTTCTGACCTTCTCCCAAGTCCAACACCGGCACCTCCACATCATTGAAATCCTTCAGCTTTTGTGTTTAGTTCTGGTCACCTCATTACAGGAAAGATGTGGAAGCTTTAGAGAGGGCGCAGAGGAGATTTACCAGGATGCTGCCTGGACTGGAGGGCAGGTCTTATGAGGAAAGGTTGAGGGAGCTAGGTCTTTTTTCATTGGAGCAAAAAAGGATGAGAGGTGACTTGATAGAGGTTTACAAAATGATGAGAGGCATAGATAGAGTGGATAGCCAGAGACTTTTTCCCAGGGTGGAAATGACTATTACGAGGGGGCATAATTTTAAGGTGATTGGAGGAAGGTATAGGGGAGATGTCAGAGGTAGGTTCTTCACACAGAGAGTGGTGGGCGTGTGGAATGCGTTACCGGCAGTGGTAGTGGAGTCAGATACTTTTAAGACTTTTAAATGACTCTTGGATAGGCACATGGAGGATAGTAAAATGTAGGGTATGCAGGATTAATTGATCTTAGTAGGATAATAGGTCGGCACAACATCGTGGGCTGAAGGGCCTGTACTGTTCTATGTTCGACGTTCTTTGTCATTCACCTTATCTATGCCCCTCATGATATTATAAACCTCTACAAGGTCAGCCCTCAGCATCCTACACTCCAGTGATAAAAGTCTCAGCCTCTTCTTATAATTCAAACCCTCCATTCCTGGCAACATCCTGGTAAGTCGCTTCTGAACCCTCTCCAACTTAACCCTCTCCTCCCTATAATGAGGCAACCAGAACTGGACACTGGTAACCTGAAGGGGGCAGTACAGGTTGATAGGGTGTTTAAAAAGGTATACAGGACACTTGGTTTTTTTCAATTGTGGCATAGATACTAGGAACAGGGAAGTTACATTAGAGCTTTGGGTGAGGCCACAGCTAGAGTACTGTGGGGAGGTCGATTCTCTCCGCTATAGGAAGGATGTGATCACCCTGCAGAGGGTATAGTGATCCCCCAGGATGTTACCTGGGACAGAGAGATTCAGCGATGGAGAGAGAGAGAGTCTGGATAAGTTCAGAAATAGTAGGGACTGCCGATGCTAGAGAATCTGAGATAACAAGGTGTAGAGCTGGATGAACACAGCAGGCCAAGCAGTATCAGAGGAGCAGGAAAGCTGACGTTTCGGGCCGAGACCCTTCTTCAGGATAAGTTCAGGTTGTTTTCTCTGGAGCTGGGAAGGTTGAGGGGGAACCTGATAGAGGGGTATAAGAGTATGAGGGGCATGGAAAGGGTGAGTAGGATGCAGCTGTTTCCCCTCAGTCAAAGGGTCAGTAATAAAAGGGGCATAATTTTATGCAGAAAGGCAGGAGAATTGGAGGGGTTTGTAGATAATAATTCTTTCGCCCTAGAGAGTGGTGGGGTCTGGAATGCGATGCCTGGTAAATGAATCAGGAAACCACCCTACCTTTCCTTGGATGAGCGCAAGGCTATGGGATTGTAACAGCCTCCTGGCTGCTAAAACACAGATAGATTTGGGGCGGCACGTGGTTAGCACTGCTGCCTCACAGCGCCAGGGACCCGGGTTCGATCCCACCCTCGGACGCCTGTCTGTGTGGAGTTTGTACATTCTCCCCGTGTCTGTGTGGGTTTCCTCCGGGTGCTCCGGTTTCCTCCCAAAATCCAAAGCTATCCAGGTTAGAGATAACAAGATGTAGAGCTGGATGAACACCGCAGGCCAAGCAGCATCAGAGGAGCAGGAAGGCTGACGTTTCGGGCCTAGACCCTTCATCAGAAATGGGGGAGGGGAAGGGGGTTCTGAAATAAATAGGGAGAGAGGGGGAGGTGGATAGAGGAGAGGATAGTGGAGAGGAAACAGACAGGTTAAAGAGGCGGGGATGGAGCCAGTA